CAGTTTGAGTCAATGTAAAACCTTTGACTCAAGTCTCCCTGCCTCTGCATCTTCAGTGTGTTGCTCCATTGGCTTCTGTTCTAAAGCATTTTGTGGGCCAGCCTGGTGACAATCTGATTTTCTTATCCTTTTGAGTGACCCAGGTTTTTTTTTTTTCCTGGATAACCAAAGGTGTTATGTTTGTTTGTTTTTCTTTAACATTTAGTAGATTGACTATAACTTACGTTGGGATTAGTCATTCTTGGTCTGTTTCTCTGGGTGCTGACTGAACCCGTTCAACATTCACTTCGGGAACATTTTCTTAAATCATAGTTTTAGTGTTTGCTATTTTCCATTGTTTATTTTCTTCTCCGAGGTTTCCTTGTATATGCATATTGTACTTTCTTTGCCTTTATTCTGCATTTATTGCTTTGTTTCACAGTAGTTTCAGCACTTTAAATGCACCCAGTGAAATGCACGTCTTTGGTGTTACAGTTTGATTAGCTTTGGCAAATGCATACGTCCGCCATAACCCCTGCCCTACCAGGATACTGAGTCATTGCATCGACTGAGATACTGCCCTGTGCCCTTTGCACGAAATCGTCCTTCCAACCCTGATTCAAACAATGTTTTGATTGCTTCCACAACACAACACTCTGCTAGAATTTCATATAAATTGAAGTATTCATGTTTTTTTAATTTAAAACATTTTTCTGTTTTCCATGTTCTGTTTCTTTTAAGGGACGATCCACTGTGTTTATTCGCTCCTGTGTCCCTTCTGGCTTAGCCTTGATTTCTGAAATTACTTTCTCTTTTATTTCTAATTCTTTCCTGGGTTCTTTTCACATCTCTTTCTAGTCTCAAATTCTGTTGCTTCTGACTATTTTCCCAATCCTGATTTATGTTGCTCTTCACGATGTCTGCCATTCTCTCCGTTGCTTGTAGCTCATTCTGAAACATTAGATTTCAGTTTCATGTTGATGTGACTTTCCGACAGGTTCGTTGTGTAACTACTGTTACACTGGTTTATGTAATTGTTGTTCGCTGATTCGGCTTTTAGTATCGGGAAGTCATCTTTCTGTCTTCAGCGATCACCTAACACAGTGCCTCGCAACAGTAAGCAGTTGGCAAATATACATCTTATTGAACCGAAGCCTAGCCTGTTGTGGTCAGTGTGAGGTTTTTCACCACCTTGTGGAAAAGCTCCATATGACCCCATAAAACCCCAAGGCTCATGGGCCATGAGGTACAAATCATAGAGCCGAAGGGACCTTAAAGCTTTTCTCGCTCAACTGCGTTATCAGTAATTCCTCTTCCACAAGCAACTTGCTAAAGATCATAGGAAGTAGCAAAACTGAGGGTAAATCCCTGGTTTCCTGACTCTTAGTTTCGTCCTCTTATAGCCTGACAGCCTCAAAGTAAAGAAAAGCGTGTTTCTGTACAACGCAGAATTTGTGCAGCTGTTGCCTGTCTGCTTTCTGTCTGTTCTCTTTCACAGCCCCCATCAGTTTCCTTACCTGCCTGGTGTTCACCCAAACCCGTGGGTGGGAGGGCTCTCTGAGCTGTGGTTCTGAGAGAGAGAACGAGGGAAGGAGGAGAAAGGGGATGAACCTTAGGCACCAGGAGACCCCTGTTCATCCTCTCCCCTCCCCCGACCACCAGCATCAGTAATGCAGCAGCTGTAGCGCGAATGACCAGCTTCCTCTGCCAGACTCGTAAAAGCAGAGACTGCAGAGCCTCACCCGGAGGACAAAACTGGGAGCGCTTGATGCATCCCAGGAAGATCTCTGTTCACAGAAGGCAGGCAGCATCCTCGACAGAGCGGAGGCTGTTCAAGCAGAAATAAAGGATCCAGTCAAAGGGTTTCCTCTTTGCAGCTGCTGGTTCTGAATATCATGGACTGAGAAAAAAATGAAGTAGCATTTGTTATATAATATAACCGATTATATTACATAATTTTACGTCTGTTATAAAGAACCTTGGAGGAATGGCACCATCATGGGTAAGACCCCAGTGAGCGTCGTGAGGATGCTGGAGGAGACCCCAGGCTCTGGCACGGGACGTTTTATCTCAGAGCTGCTAAACTCGGGTTCGGGAACGGCTATAGTCGGGGAGGAGTGCGTGGAAGTAAACACAGAGGAAATGAGCGAATAGGAATTAGGGGTTAGAGACAATGACAAGCCAGTCTGTGTTAGAAGAAGTAGTATTGAAGGATGCTGAAGTGACAAAAATAAAATTCCACTCATTTCAGCCCCTTTACCTCAGATGTAATCATAATTTATCATACTCAACGTTGGAAAAATTCACTCCAAGAAGAAAAAAAAGGTCTTTAAGAATGTAACTTGGGGAATTCCCTGGCGGTCGAGTGGTTAGGACTCCGCGTTTTCATTCCCGAGGGCACAAGTCCAATCCCTGGTGGGAATTAAGATCCCACAAGCTATGCAGCGCGGCCAAAAACAACCAAAAGATGAAGAATGTAAACTGTTGGGTGTGTTTGTTTAAATACTAAAAAGAAGGATAGTAAATAGCTGTAATATGGAGCCAACAGCCAGAACCCACACTATTCACTACAGAGCAGGGCCCCTCCCTTCAAGGTGCAAAATAACCCTTGTGGTCGTGTTAATGCGGATTCTGACTCGGTAGCTCCAGGTGGTCAAGACCGTGCCTCCCGGACAGAATCCCAGGTGGTGCTAATGCTGCAAGTTCTCAGCCGACTCTAGGTGGAGACTTAAGCTGCGCCTGCCTCAAAGTGCCATGATTTCGACCCACTTTGAGGCTGGTGCAGCTCAAGGAGATCCCCACGTAGCGTTATTCCAATCCCATAACCCTTGAGACTCTTCACGGAGTACCTGCTGCATACCAGAACCAGGGGGGTGAAGGAGCCGTGGTTCTTTGGTCTCAGGCTCTGGGCAGGGCAGGGGCTGAGGAGGAGGTGACGTGAGTTGCTGTCACGCTGGCAGAGAAGGACGCACAAGGAGGTAGAGGAGAAACCGGAGCCCGGCTGCCGGGAACACACCAGAAAAGGGAAGGTCACTCTGGCTGAACTGCAACAGGAGACTCCGTCCAGGAGGAGGAATTTGAATAAATGTAACCAAATGTCTTTTGTGAGATACTCACTTCGGGTCCAGGCAGGAGCTGAGTCTGAGACGCCTAACTGAGTTTCAGGAAGGTTATTCTGGTCTTGTTGGTACATCCAGCCCTGCATGAGGGGCCCAGCAGCTTCGCTGTGGAAGGATGAAGATCAGAGACGCTGGGTGTTTGCACCAGAAACGCCTGGATGAGCTTGGAAGGTGACTGGGTGTGGAGGTGATGCTCACACATAGGACATGCTTCACAGGTGCTCAGAATCAGCGGTTTTAGCTCTCGGATTGTGACTGGGCCCCAGGGCCAAGGGCTTCTTAGAGCCACAGCAGCAGAGCCCATACTGTGTCCTGCTCTCGGACATGTGACAGTGTCACAATGGTGACACCCACACCTCCCAGTGCATATACTGCCCTCGACTGGTCATCTGTCGACTCAGTTAAACTGCTATTTTCCAGTTAGTCGCAAGGGTGTCTGCTCTCTCTCCTCTGCTCAGTCTGAAAATTTGGATACCTGTAGCTACCACCAAACCCAGCAGTTATAATGTAAGAAAATTCTTAAATCTCATAGAAAGCCAGAGCACCTGAAAGTCCCATGTTTTCCTACATAACAGTTATTAATTTGCAAAGAGGAAAAGCTGTCCCCCAAAATCTTAGGCTTGGGTATCTTCTTTTCTTTTTTAACATTTGAAACCCTAGAAAGGAACATGATCTAGGGAGAAAGAGTTTAGAAGACTTCTTAATTGTATCTCAGATGCACTGACGTTCCTCTAAGCCGAGCACCACTGAGGCAAGGAAATTTCCAGTCTGCTTCCTGGGACCCTGCTGAAGGCCAGTGGCAAGTGTGAGCGTTGAGATAATTCTAACACAAGGAAAGAACATACTAGAATGTGTGTGTGAGATTTCCTCAGCCGGGGAACTTAGTCCCTGTACAGCACTAACATGTAGGTCTTCCTATCACTTCTAAATCTGTGTGGGGCGTTTTTTTTGTTTTTTGTTTTTATCACACAGAGGTATTTTATTGTAAGTTATATGCAAAAGCAACTTAGTTCTTCAGAAAAAATTTTTTTAAATAAAATAGATCAATATTTAAGATATACCAGACCAAAAAAAACCCTGAATAAAGATGATAAAGATAAAAATATATTACTCAAAAAAATCCTTGAGGGCTTCCCTGGTGGCGCAGTGGTCGAGAGTTGGCCTGCCGACGCAGGGGACACGGGTTCGTGCCCCGGTCCGGGAAGATCCCACATGCCGCGGAGCGGCTGGGCCCATGAGCCATGGCCGCTGAGCCTGTGCGTCCGGAGCCTGTGCTCTGCAACGGGAGAGACCACAACAGTGAGAGGCCCACGTACTGCACAAAAAAAAAAAAAAAAAAAAAAATCCTTGAATTTATTAGAATATAAAACTTTAATGTCCCTCTAGTCAAAATTTTATTCACAAGAGGTCGTAGGTTGTTTGTTTGTTGGAAATCTGTTTGAAAAGTTCAAAAACTAAAATAGTTGCTTTATTTCTTTGTTCCATTAGTACTAAGTCACAAGATCTTTGTAAGTCAACCCTCTCTTCTTTAGTGTGAGTTTTCTGCTGGGACGAGGAGCCGTGGGCCTGGGAGAGTTGGACGAACTGCCCCACTTCCCCTGTGGTCGAGGCTGGTGAGGGTAGGCTTGCCTGTGGGTTTCAGCAGGTCGGCTGAAATCATGAGCCTCTCTAGAGCGGCAGTGGTTCCAGTTCCTACAGTCGCCTTCATTTGGAGCAGAAACTAGAGTATAGATGCACGGAGTCCACCTCTGGCTCCCTCTGGCCGCTGCCCCCATGGAGCCTGTCTAACTCGGCAGAGTTGCACCCCGGCGACCGGGAAGCCCTGAGACAACCAGGGTCTGCCTGATGAGCAGCTTTTCAGGCGTGATTTTCTTGTCTCATCTCTGTTTCTTCCTCCTCCAGGAGAAATGGGCCCCGTGAGGCAAGCGTGACCCTCAAGTCCAGCCCGCCAGCCCGACGCCCGGCCGGGAGGACAGCGCCATGGCTGGAGTCGTGGAGCAGAAGAGCGGGCTGGTGCACGGCAAGCTCGGCGAGGCCGGCAAGAGGAATGGTCTGATCAACACCAGAAGCCTCGTGTCTGAGAGCAGGGATGGCCTGGTGTCCGTGTACCCGGCACCCCAGTACCAGAGCTGCCGGATGGTGGGCAACGCGGCACCGGCCGCCCCGGACGGCAGCAGGAACAAGCCGGTCCAGCAGCTGCTGGACCCCAACACCCTCCAGCAGTCGGTGGAGTCCCTCTACCGGCCCAACATCATCCTCTACTCGGAGGGCGTGCTGCACCCCTGGGGGGACAGCGTGGCGGCCGACTGCTGTGAGACCACTTTCATCGAGGACCGGTCGCCCGCCAAGGAGAGCCTGGAGTACCCCGACAGCAAGTTCCTCGACCTCTCACCCGAAGACATCAAGATCCACACGCTCTCCTACGACGTGGAGGAGGAGGGGTTCCAGGAGCTGGAGGTCAGAGCGCGTGTCTGTCATGGGCCTTCGGGAGCAGGGTATGGGGCTCCGGTGGGATACAAGTGCCAGGCAGAAGTCGGGGCGTGAAGCCAATGTGCACAAGTGCAGGGAAACCGGAGCCTTCTGGGTGCCCTTCACTCAGAACATTTGTGGAAGATGCGGGGACGGAGAAAGAGCTGAGGACCAGGACCCGTGGGGCTTCAGCAGAGATTCTGGTCAGAGAGGGCACAAGGTCACAGCTGTCGGGACAGGGCTAAGATGGATTTAACGGTTGACAGTGCGGGCAGGGGGTGGGGCTCTGCTCACACCCCGCCCACAAGGGAGACCGGTCACTGGCAAAAGCGAGCAGGGGAGGGGGGCTCATGGTCCTAGGGCCACACAAGGCTGGAAGTACACGTGTGGGGACAATTTGGGATGTTTTTGCTGCTACGTGTGGTTTCCTTAATTTGACATTCCAGAGCATCTACTAAGGATCATTGGAATAGCTGAAACCTGCTGGAAGAAACAGTTGAAATTGATAGCATAAGGGGCAGACGAGCTGAATTATTGCTGGGTCCCGTCTCCCGTAGGGCAGGCACAGGCGTTAGATCACACGCCCAGAAACGTGCGTGTTGGCTGGGGTGTGACGCACGGCCGCCCCCGTGGAGGGCGAGGGTGAGGCTGCAGTGGTCTGAGCCCAGGAGGCCAGCGCCCAAGCCGGGGGGCAGTCATTTTGCTGCTGTGAGGCTAGAGGGGGTTCCTCCAGGACATGCATGGCAGGGAGAGAAGGGCCGGTTTCTGTCAGTTGGGAGGGAAAGACCTTTAGGAGGAAGCGTGTGGTCAGAGGGAAAAGAAGTTGGTTTCCTACTTTGATAGGTGAGAACTTTTTGTGGGTGGAGGGAAACGTCCAGGGCAGAGGATGCCGAGGGAGCGGGGGGGGGGCAGGAGTTGGCATCCAGGCAGAAGTCTGGTATTTCTCAAGCAGTCCACACAAGGCTTGTCTGAGAAGGTTACCAAGTCCAAGTGCTCTAGGTGGAAGAGGATGGGATGAGGGCCCACGTGGGGGAGGGTCATGGAGCTGGGGGAGGGTGAGGACCCTCAGGGCGGTGACTCAGGGAAGCGACCATCCTAGAAGAGACAGCCAGCGTCGGGGGCGGGGGGGTCCGTGTGCAGGTGTGGTCAGGCCCGAGCGCTGTGACCTTCCTCGTGACGGGCGGCCGCCCTTCAGCAGGGGAGGCTCAGGGCAGAGCAAGCTCGTTGCTTCCTGCCTGCAAGCTGGGAGAGGCAGGAGAGAGCAACGGAGGGTGTCGAGTAGACTCAGCCCCACTGCGGGGGCCCAGACTGGGGAGAAGGTCAGTGAGGTCACAGGGAACTGGTGGGCCCAGGAGACCAGGGGCGTCAGGACCGGAGGTAAAACGAGAACGAGAAGCAGCTGGAGAGGTGGTTTTAGTCCAAACAGATATTCAGAAATGGAAAACAAAATGTGCTTTTGTAGCAAACCCTGTGAACAGAGCCCCGAACCCAGCTGACGGGGCGTTGAGCGGAGGGCAGCTGTCGGAGGCCGTCGGGAAGACCAGCACACCCGGGGGATCCCGTCAAGGGGCAGAGCGGGGGTGAGCTTGGGCCAGTGCTGAAATCTAAGACAGTTGGGCGAGTGCTTTAGCTGCCATTCAGGAGCCTCTGTTCAGCGTCCACTTTTACCAAGGTCTGGGGTTTTGCCTAAAGCCAAAGTGTAAGTGCTGCGTGGAGTTTAAGAAGCAGACATACAAAGATGCAATTTCAGCGAAACGTGGGAGTTATGGTGATGGAAATCCGCTGCTCCGAGAGCCTCCGAAGGAGAGGCTGACCCCCCAACCTCAGCCTGGGGCTCAGTTGTGGCTGCAGAGGAAGCGCCCGGTTGCACCTGGCCGGGGAGAGAGAGACCCTCCGGCAAGAAGGTTCATCGGGGTAGGGGGTGAGAATCAAAGGGACGTCGTGAGCAGATGACACACAGAGGTGTCCAACCTAGATCTGCGGGAACAGAGAGGGGTTAGACCTGGTGGGGCTGGGAAGGCAGGACCAGGAGGACGCGGGGTCCTGTCCCTGAGGACCTCACTGCCGTCTCGGGGAGACTGGATTTTAGGCGGGGACACAAACCCAGAGGCTTGGAGACAGGAGGGACAGTAATAGGGTCAAGAGGAACCCCACGGAGGGGTGGGGCCGAGACTGGGAGCCCAGCCTGTCTGCAGCTCCAGGGGTTCCACCGTGCAGGCTCGTGTGTAGGGGATCCTGGGGGGATGGGGGTGTTTCAGGTAGGGGTGCATCGTCAGAGCTGCTCTGGCTGCAGAGCAGAACGAGGGGCCTATCATAGAAGAGGATGAGAGAATCAGGGCAGCATTACAAGTGAACAGATGCTCAGGAAGTGGTACCTGCCATTGTCTGGAGGAGATAGGAAGGAAGGGTCGGGGCCTCTCTGTGCACACAGGGTCCCAAGCCCCCCATCGGCCAGGCTGGCTGGTACAGGATTTTCAGCTTTGTCACAAGTTCTTAGAAATCAGCTCCAGCACATAACATCCCCAGCAGTGAAAAGTGGGGGACACTTAGTAGACTGAAAATGTAGAGGTAGCTCCTGCCTACACTGTTCCTTCATCACTCGTGTGGGCTTCAGGCCTCCCCTCTCTCTGGTCACATCCTACATGCAGGAAGTGTTCTGTTTTCCCATTCCATGAAAAAATAATGGGCATGTACGCATTAGCATTTGCTGTGTAACGAATCTCCCCCAAATCGGTGGCTTCTAACAGCCCTGTGAGCTCGTGATTCTCGGGGTCAGCATTCTGCAAGGGTCTCAGCTGGATGGAGGCTGCTCTGCTGGGCTTGCCGGGTTCCCCCACTGGCCTGAGCCTGAGAATGTGGGCTGGGCTATTGGCCCGGGTGACAGAGGTGACAGGACCACATGCCTCTCATCATGTGGCGGCCGTGGTGGGGATTCCGGGAGCAGAGAGCGGGGTGAGCAGGGAGCCAGGGCTTTTCAAGTCTCTGCCATGGGGCACACGTTATACATCTTATCTTCCAAAGCAAGTCACATGGCCAAGACCAAAGTCGGTGTGGGAGGGGCTGCTCAGGGTGACAGGATAGGAACATGCCAGCCACAGGGCCAGGACTGCAGCAGCTCCCATAGAGCAAGCATCACTGTTTAAGATCATCGAATGAGAACATCCTGGTCGTATCGTAACTCAAATAAAAAAACATGGTCCGTATGGATGTGGGGCTCTTCCCAGAAGGCAGCTCTACTTCCGATAAAAGGGAAAATGTGGTTTTGACTCCTTGGGGAGTTCCATGGCCTCACTCAGTCTATAGCAGATCGATTCTGTTTCCTGGAAATCACAGTTTTCAGAGAGCTTTGCCCTGGTAAGAGCAGGGCCCTGTCACCGGAGCCTTTCCTCTGCCCCCATCTCTGCCTGGACTTGCCCAGCACTCGGAGTGGAGGTGGCCTGATCCAGACGGGTCCACTCACTGGGCGCACATCTGTAGGAGCTCCTGCAGCTTCACTTGCCTCTGGGGCGGTGGTGCTGGCGTGAGCGGATCTGCAGCTGATTGAAAGCATCTTGTGCAGAGGCCTCGGCCACGGCATTTGCCGTGCGCTGCCCAGAGCGTGGGAGCCCGTCACAGCGGAGAGTCAGCCTGGGGGGTCGCAGGGGTGCTACGGGATGGAGGGTGACCGGGCAGGCGCCTCGGGGGCCCTCGGGACGCTCTGCGTGCACGATCTGGGGCCTCCTCCTGGTACCCGACCGCAGCTAAAACCACAGCTCACGGGGCCCCAACCGCAGGAAATCACGTCTCCTTTTCACACAAACAAACTCAAGCAGAGAGATTTCAGGCACAAGGAATAAAGCAGTTCTGCAAAATATAAAACTTGAGCTTAAAGTTATGAAATGAAGTGGGTGCGGGTCAGGGCTGGAGGGGCCTCATTGCATGTTGGAAGGCTGATTGTCACCCTTTTGTGACAAAGCCAAGCCTCCAGCATCCATTGGAAAGCACATGGGATGTCGTCACTGGGAAATAGTGACACGGGAGGAAAGCAGAAGGCGACGCGTGTTTCTGGAGCATCTTCCTGTACCAGACCCTCTGTTCACCCTGCCAGCTGATCCCGGCAGCCACACTGGGTGACAGGCTCTGTCCCTAACGCTGCACATGAGAGGTGGAAGCTTGGAGGGGTCCCAGGTGGCTCTCCTGGCGTCAGTCTCCCGTGTCCTGATGGCGATACTCTGTGGTCCCTGAACGGCTGTTTCAGACACAGCCACCTCCTCATGTCTGAGCCCTCACCTGGGCTGTCCAAGCCCTGAGTCTGCCCTCCCGTGAAAAACCGGAAACCTATTGGGAGAGACAGGGTTTCACACTCAGGGTAGCACCTTGCAGAGGCCTCTTTCACACACAGGAACGAAGCAGGGAGGACTCGCAAACATTTGACGAAAACCCCAAAGCGTGAAGAACAAAGAACAGAAGAACAAAAATAGAAGAGTGCACCCAGAGGAAACTGAAATTACTCAGAAAATAATAGGCAGTGTTTTAACCACGATCTTAGCGTCCTATGAGGATGTGAGAGGCTGCTCCGGGGTGGGGCGGGGAGGCCGGGTTTCGTTTGGTTTGTTTGCCTTGTACCTGGGCTGGACCCTCACGTGCGCTGGTGACAGAGGTGGTGAGTGGGGGTCCTCGCCTCGCTCCTGGTTCGGGGTCAGTGCTCAGACTCAGATTAAGGATCAAGTTCTTGAGGCTCTTAATCAGGTGCAGGGAGCAGCCTTTGTCAAGACTTGGTTAAACAGGAGTTTTTTAAATATAAAAAATGGCAAATGCTGGGAATTTTTGTCCTTTATTGTATTTATGTGACCTATTATATTAACTGATTTTCATATATTAAACTATCCTTACATTTGCGGATAAATCCCCCATGGCCATGGTGTTTGCTCCTCTTTAAATATTGCTGGATTTAATGTGCTAACAACTTGGTAAGGATATTTATTTCTGTGCCCGTGAGGGGTCTTGGT